CAGGAAACATTCTGTGAAATGAATGATGATTTTTTCGAATCAGATAATATATGTGATTAATGCTTCAAAAGCACACTGCAATAATTCAACCAGATAATATGTGTAAAGTAAATAATTATTCTTGATTGTGACGCACTTGTTGGTACGTCGAACATATGTATAAATACACGGTATGCATCTAACGAAACACATGGCTGCTTTAAAAAGTATTCATTGGGTCTTAAAAAATTGTACAACCTGAAGAATATAGTATTAATTCTTTCTGAAGCAAAACATTTTTCTTGTGTTTTAAAGTAGAAAAGCTAACAACGTTGATAAAATATTGAGAAATAAAGTTATTGTTAAAGAAAGGGAGCAGCATAAACGACGTAAAAAATAGGTCTATGTGACAAATACTTTGCCGTAAATCGAAATATTTCATACTGGCTGTGATATAGAATCGTAAAGCTTATTGGTGTTGCCGTTTAATCATCCCTACTTCTGTGTTAAAGAATTTCATGTGCTTGAAGTGGTGAGCAAAATCCTCATTTAAGTTATGCCCTAACAATCCAACGTCTTAAAGACCGTTCCGTAACATCAATAAATAATTTCAATAAATAAAATTTCAGTAAATAATATAATAATAACGAGGACTTTATATAGCGCCTAATATTTAGAAGCTCTAAGTTCTTTACAACATTTGATAACGCTTAAAAAAGAATATAAAAAACATATATACTGAAATGATTACAAAAATTAAAAAGCAAACACCACAAAATTAGAAACAGAAAACATGCTTTAAATTTTTAAGGTATGGATATATTAAAAAGAATGCACTATTAGGTCATTATGACTGTTCTTGCAGTTGAAATAGATGTGTTTTAAGGGCGCTCTTGAACGAGATCACTGTATCTTTGTGTCTAAGTGCAGTGGGCAATTCGTTCCACGTTGCTGGGCCTGGTAGCAAAAGAATGATGTCCATATGATTTCAACTTCATAGTGGGAATACTGAGAATGCGAGTGTCAGAAGAGGAGCGTAAGCATCTTGCAAGTGTATACACATGGGTGAGGTCAGATAGGTATGTTGGATTGGACCCCGTCAGTGAAACGTAGCACAGAGAACAAATTTTGTGTTTCATTCTGAATCCTATGGATAGCCAGTGTAGGGTACAGAGCAGCAGAGAGGCATGCTCTAAGGATGATCCAAGCAGCAGTGTTTTGAACTTTTTGAAGTTTCTGAGATAGATATTGAGATGAATCAGACAGAATTGAAATACAATAGGCCAGTCTTGAAAGTACTAAGGAACCCACGAATGTGTTTGTACCATCAAGTGACAGATAACTGTGCATGGAGCTGATGCGTCTCAATAAATATCAATAAATAATACTAATAAAAACGTCTAACGTTCCATTACGCTATTTATTTTATCTAACACGAAGTCGCTTTATTGTTTATGAGAATTAAGAAAAGAATAAATTTCTTTTTGAATAAATTAAAATGTTATATTAGTTAAAAAGTCAATGCAAAATTAAAATTAAAGCTACTGATGAGCAAGCAGTAAATCTAATCAAAGCCGCTTGCCAGGATATCGGAAAAAGCAACTATGCTATAACTTTATTACATCAGAAAGATAAAAAAAATTTAAAATGCACATAATGTTATATTGTCATGAAAATTCAAAGCAATGATTGTCTTTGATCTTCATCTGTAATGAAGGAAATCTTATAGGGACTCTCTACAATGAATGAATAACAATTTTGTACTCCCGTGTATTCCTGTATTTGTATTTTCTATACTCTCGTCTACGCACTCCTGTCTATGTACTCCCATCTATGTACATCCGATGCAAGATGTGATTCCGTAAAACAAATAAACCAACAGAACATGATATAATCTTGAAATTAAAATGTAAATAAGCATGCAAGATTCAGGCACTTATGGTAAAAATATACAAACTAAAACAAAACAACACTAAAGATGTTATGTTATCAAAAATAAATTAAGTTGAAGGAAAGGTAGGCCTACCTTCAAAATGATTTTATATAAATTACTTGTGTATAAAATGTTCTATCTACTGACCTTTTGCTTTTTTAGTAAAGGACAATTTCTTAATTTCTTTTCCCAAATCGACTTCACTTGCGAAAACATTAAAAACAATATATAACATGCTAGTTAAAAGTCGTCTTTGGCTGAAGTTTCAGTATGTCATTTATGGTGAGGTGGTTCTTCAGGAAGACATTTTTAAAAGACATTTCCTTTAGGTAGTAATTGAAGATTAGTGTAGCAACCAAAAAATGAATTTAGACAATATAGCCGCTTCCATAAATCCAACATGTCCGCATCAAAATGTACCGACAATCGCATGTACAATATTGTCCCAGTTACATGCTTCTGCAAAAAAAAGTATCAATCAACAAGTTTGTTCGCCTCGTGGATTTTGCCAGAAACACACGAGATGTCCCATAGTTTAAATTTCCTCAGAAAAACCATGATATGTTCCAATAGTTTATATTTTCTAGAAAGAAAAATATATTTTAGTTGTTTTTTTTTAGAAAAACCCATTGATATACCTCAATTCTGCAAAAAAATAAATTAAACTTAAAAATTGTTCTGACACAAAATCCCCCAAAAATATCACTGAAAATGAATTTGAGTGATATTCAGGAAGGTAGACATACTTGCGTACTTCTAAGAAATAATGTCAAAATTGTACTTAAAAACTGCATATTTAAATCATACAGACACCATTTTTATAATCAAGCGTTTACGCATAATCTGCATTATTAGCATACGTTTATTCAAGGTTCGTTTTACGTATCAACTTGGGATCAGTTTGCTTGGATGTGTGTATTACGATCTTAAATTTCGAGAGTTTGTTTTAAGGACGAATTAATATTATGTAGTAGGTCAAGATCATTCTGTCCACGTGAGTTTTAGTTTCGATCCGACCAACGAGATTTTGACGTTTGTTTTAAGGACGAATTAATATTATGTAGTAGGTCAAAATCATTCTGTCCACGTGAGTTTTAGTTTCGACCCGACCAACGAGATTTTGAGGGAGATTCGTAAACATCGTACAATAATAACAAGTTATTGCTTACAGCAGGATCGTATAATCAGTGCGTTTCTCATCAGTCAGTGGGTCCGGTGGTCTAAGTGGTTAGCACGTCCGCCTCAGATGGAGGAGCTCGCGCGTTTAAACCCTACTCAAGTTATATCAAAGACTTTTAAAAATGGTACTATCAGCTGTCTCGCTTGGTGCTCAGCATTATGAAGTTTGTGTTAGGACTGGTCGGCCAGTTGTCAGGATAATGTGATGATGTGACTTGGTGGGACATCATGCTACATGTCTGCGGCATGATATCCCAGTGTTAGACATCACTATAAACTGCTACACTGCAGACATCGTAGTGATATGAATGGAAAATTGTTAAAGCTAGGTTAAAAATCCAAATCACACACACACACACACACACACAAACTGTTTGTGGTATTCAGACAATAGAGTTATAAGATTTATAAATGAAAAAGGTATAGGGATTATAAAAAAATGAAAGCGTACGGATTATAAGACAATAAAGGGGTACGGATTATAAGATAATACCGTGTAAGGATCAGAAGATAAGATGTACAGATAACAAGACAATAAATGTGTACGGATTAGAAGACAATAATATGTACGGATTACGAGTCAGTAAGGTTTTAAGTTAACTGTGACAGATTATAAGATAGGAAAGGTGAACGGATTTTACGACAATAGAGGTAGGGCCGGATGAGGGTGGTCGGGGGTTTCATAACCCTCGAAGACTAAAACCAAAAACGTTTTTGCACAAACGCAGTCATTTGTCACTTGAAACTTGATCATGGTTTTATTCTTGCGCATGTTTATTGAGGATCATGCAGCCTTTGAGTATATTGGCACATCGAATTTTGCTTCTGTTTTCTTTTTCAAGGAAAATAATGGCCCTATTAAAATTTTGTAAATCCCATGATCTGACCCTGAATGGTGTACGGATTAGAAGACAATAAAGTCTACGGATTATCAGATAATACAAATGTGTACGGATTAGGAGACAATAACAACATACTATTTATAAGACAGTAAATGTTTCGGATTATAAGACAATAAAGGTGTACCGACTATAAGAAAATAAAGGTGTACCAATATGAAAGTTCTATAAGCAAACCATAGGCAAAATTATTAACATATAACTAGCAGTAGAGTCCATTTTGTGTAGAATAAACAAATATGGCAAATGGTCAAAATATCTTGAAAGAAAGGAAATGTATTAGTATAAAGTTATTATAGCGACTTTCTATCAGATGTTAGTACTATTTAGGTAATTTCTTGTTAATTGTTTGTTTCAAAGAAAGGACATGTTTTTGCACGCAATACATACTGTACTTGATTCTTCCTAATAGAACTTCCAAGTTTGATATAATATAAGACCAAGCAATGAATTTTATGAGCATATTAGATATATCTGTATATCACCACATGGCTAAATTTCGGAATAAAACAAAAATGTGATAATCTAAATTGACCATACTCAGTAAGATGTCGGTTTCAGATCCATATATCTGAACTGACTTTGCTATGTTAATCGGCGTTTGAAAATTTTTGTGAGATGTACTATAAATTGAACCCAGTGTTAGAATACATTCGCTGACAACAGGGAGTTACTGTGTGATTCAATTTTCAATAACTAACAAATAGTATACGACTACTCAAAACTAGAGATAGTCTAAATATAGTGGGGTGCGTGGGTGTGTATGTGGGTGGGTGCATGGTTGTTGGAATTTTACAGTAGATTTAACAATTGTTCAGTCATACTGATGCCTACAGTGTGGCCGTTTTATGATGTCTTGCACTGGGATTTCATGCCTCAGTCACGTAGGATGATGTCAAGCCCAGTTACAGTATTCTGAGACCAGGTCGACTAGTCCTAACACTAACCTCTCAATGCTGAGCACCTAGCGAGGCATCTATCTGTTAGTACCATTTTATAAGGCTTTGGTATGACTCGGGCAGAGTTCAAACCCGCGACCTCACGCATCCTAGGCGGACGCTCTAACCACTAGGCCACCGGAGCGGTCTCTATGTTTATGGGCTTAATATCAGGATCATTATAGAAGAAATAAATATGTTTTATGAGTCAAAGTTATGGAATTCAATTAATGGTTTTGATTTTGTAAACATCAAGATCAGTCTAGAAGGTTACTTTTAATTAGGTAATATTGTTAGTTTGTTTTAAATCCTAATTGTGACCTGGTAACAAGTAGAGAACTATATAATCATACAATAATGAGGACTTGGTCATTCGTGCTTTAACATCTAGCACTTTCAAGGAGTATATTAAATGTTGTGACCAGTTGTTTTGGCCTTGAATCCTTTTGGTGAAAATTATTGAATTCACGTGATTATTATCTAAGGAACCATAAAAGTGGTCTGATAAAATTCTTGGATAAAGACATTCACTGGAATTTATACTGAATTCAAACCTGAAATGTTATTACTGTGATTCAACAAAAGACTGTTGACATATCAACACTCTATAAGTTATAACAAACATATCATCACATTTAGATTTTTGGATTTCATTGAACTTGTCCTATGTTGTATTCAGTACTTTAAATTACTATGAATTATGTCTGTAATTCTTGGATTTTGTTGGAATGTAATTCGCAACACTGAAAGTATTGGTTTACGATTTGGATTTTGTAACGTAGCTTTAGCGATGTTTCACTCATATCGCTACGATGTCTGCAGTATAGCAGTTCATAGTGATATCTAGCGCCGGGGCCTCATGCTGCAGACATGTAGCATGATCTCCCACCCAGTCACATTATCGTCCCACCTGACTTACCAGTCCTAACACTACCCTCTTAATGCTGAGCGCCACGGGAAGCAGCTGCTAGTACCATTTTAGTAACTATTTGGCATAGCTTGGCCGGGGTTCGAACCCGCCACCTTTCGCATCCAAGGCAGAGGCTCAAACCATAGGCCACTCTAAATAATATATTTTATTTGGGTCTAGTTTGCCAATGAAGTTGTGACACGTGTCCATAAAACTTTATACATGTAAACAGTTCGCAATCCAGACTGGTCCATTGTACCAAAATTATAATATTCAAGTAGCTACTGACGAATTTGATTCCAGATGTATGAAAGCATTCTATTCTACATATTAGTAGTTATACTGGGTCATGAAAATAATTTATACACTCGGAAATACATCTCTCTCTCTCTCTCTCTCTCTCTCTCTCTCTCTCTCTCTCTCTCTCTCTCTCTCTCTCTCTCTCTCTCTCTCTCTCTCTCTCTCTCTCTCTCTCTCTCTCTCTTTTATTATATTTAATAGATGCTGGGGAATGTAAGATACAGTTGGGCCCCCGTATATATGTATAAGTCGTCTTTGGTATAGATTTTTTTTTTAAAAAAATTAAGTGGTTTGAAGGAAACATAAAAGGCAACAATATTTCCGTTTATAGTGATCAGAGTTTGGGTTGTACATTTCATTAGCAGTTTCAACAAAATTAGTCAGTTTTTGTTAATACCTCATATCCTGGGTTTGTTTATACACCAGCTCAGGGTTTGATTCTATGTCAGATCTTTGTTTCGTTTAAGCACCAGATCCTGGTTTCATTGGAACCTGGTGATTAATGCGAATAATGGGGACCATCCACTGACAAATAAAAAATATAACCATAGAAACTCTAACTCAAATTTAATGCTCTCAGAAAGGCAGACAAAGAGAGTCCAGTTCATGATTAATATTAGATTTCATTAAATGCGGACAAAATTACTAATTAAAAAAATAATAGTCTTATAAAAGATGTCAGAAACTTGATTCTTATTATGGAATGCTAATTATTGTGTCAGTAATCGATAACTAATATAGGCTTATATCTGTAGATAGTGATCCCTAGAGGCATACAAATAAACTTTGTTGGAACAATGACTATATTTTCTTTATTTTTCCGTTCTTATTTTTTATTTCTTGGTGTTGTTGAAATTTGTATCTAAAGGCTGAGTCATATGAAAACATAACTTCAGATACCCCAGGTTTCTAGAGTGTATTTTACATTGCTGATGTTTATATGTAGCTATCAACTACGACTGCTACCTATTGTGTTCCAACAGGCATACATTCAGGTCCCAGGACAACGGCATACATTGTTGCTACCGTATACATTATTATGCACACAGGCTAAAATACGGATAAATTACCATCTTGTGAAATGATAAGAACTTTCTTTCAGAGGATTTTTGAAGCACTTAATTGTCTTTTGAAAAATAAAAAAAAAATACAAATTGCTGGTCCAGCACAATTTGAAGCATTTGTCAGTATTAAATTCAAAATCAAAAGACCAGCAAAATGCGTGGGTATTTAGAAAGAAAGTCAAATTGAAAATGATTTGACCAGTGAGATTGTTAAAGCACAAAACTATTATGAAAGTTCATTTCTACTGTTTCGACCCGACAGTAGTAAAATAAGTACCAGAAAAGGAAAAACTAGCAAATTTAGTAAATTCAATAAATAATGAAGTTCTCTTTCACACAAGGTGCAAATTTAATAAGGAATTTACAGTATTGTGAATTAAATCCCATATAGTCCTAGCAATATTGGCATATGCTCAATATCATGGCGCTTCGAATAATTTCAGAATAGAACGTGCTGATATGCCAAAACTCTTCTATGTGCTGACGTGCCAACAGTCTTCATTTCTCAAAAAATATAATCCCGAAAGTCTTTGCATGAATTCAAAATAATGCCTAAGAATTGGTGGAGTCCAAAATGTCAACGATCATTTTACAATTCCAATGAATATTTTCTTGTGGAATTTGTATAAAAACATAAGATACGATAATACAGTCTTTTGATGAATCAAAGAAATACCCAGGTTTAAATTTAGTATAAATTCCAGTAAATGTCTTTATCCAAGAATTTTTTCAGAACACTTTTATATTTCCAGAGGAATAAATCACTTGAATTCAATAATTTGAAGAAAATAAAATTCAGCCCAAACTGGTCACAACACAATACAACTTGAAGATGCTAGATGTTAAAGCACGAATTACAATGTCATCACAATCACAAATGTTATATAGTTTTCTACTTGACCTCATGCACAATTATAATCTTTCTATAAAACAACATTGCTGAAAGAAAAAAAAACATTCTAGAATGATCTAATAAGATTTGTTTACTTATAACACAATAACCTGCGAAATTCAATTAGGAAATTACAATCATCAGACAAAAAAAAAACATATTTACTCCTTCTTGTTTACCTGAATAGCAATATGATTTTAAGCACCTAGAGAATAATTTAGCTGTGTATTAGCTTTTGACATAAAAGGAAATAAAAAGGTAAAACAAAGTCAATCAGATCAAGCAGAAATGATCTCAGTTTCGAACAAGGTCAAGTCCAGCATGCAATGTTACAGTACAATAACAATAATAGCGTGTAATAAAATTAAAAAACTGTACAGCTAACGAACAAACATTTAAATTAAAAAACGACTGTATATATATATATATATGTATATATATATATATATATATATATGTATATATATATATATATATATATGTATATATATATATATATATATATATATATATATATATATATATATATATGTATATATATATATATATTTATATATATATATATATATATTTATATATATATATATATATATATATATATATATATATATATATATATATATATATATATATATATATATATATATATATATATATGTGTGTGTGTGTGTGTGTGTGTGTGTGTGTGTGTGAAGAGAGAGAGAGAGGGAGAGACAGACAGACAGAGAAGAGAGGAGAGAGTAGAAACCAAGAAGAAAAAGTGCAAATAACTGGTTCTTACGGTACTCTTTCGCGGCATCTTAAAAAAATGGGGAGATAAATTACAATTAGAAAAGGACATCGTCTAAAACGATTTTTAGAAAACGTATGAAGACCCAGGCAATCCAGACAATCCTGGAATATAATTGGATGGGAAACAGGAAACTGTAAACAATCAGTGACAATCAAAACAAATGTCAAACAAAATAAATTACACAAAACAAGATTCCATTTTAAATAGTTTTCATTCATTTGGCCAAATTATTATGGTAGATGCCAGCATCAAAACGATACTACTAGTGCTGATATCCACCAATTTACACTGATACAAATATGACCACGAATGAAAGGCGTGTGGCAAATTAAAGCCATACTAGTCGACGGCACTAGAGGAAAACAATAACCAAACTAGTTAAGACTAACAATAATACAAGAAATAAATTAATGCTAATGTACATTTATTAAATATATTATCTCAATTTTATTACATTTCTATTAAGTCACAGTCAGACTACATATTAGTATAAACAGTAAAAAATTAAATATATTATCTGTAGAATAAGTTTTGAATAGATGTGCTGTACTTTCTTTTGAAGTCATGGAGACATATACGGGAAAACAAAAATTGCAAAGATCACTAAGGCTGATGTACAACTAAGCAAGAGGCCCCAGTGGATATAATTTTGTTTATCTGGTTTACATTACGTAACCGTTTACGATTTTAATAACCAATATTGGGTATTATTGTAATAACCTAGGTTTGTTTAATCTCCGTTTATAGCTGTGGCATATTTTAGTGAGCATTGGAGTCCATATTGGGAGGATATTTTGCCAGCATTTTAATTGGTCATTTTCTAGGATCAGTCGTTATAATGTACAATATATACTATAATTTATGGTAGTATGGATTAGTTTCGTAATATGAAATATCTCTAATTTCGTAACACAAAGAATTCTATGGATATTTTCATGTATATGTGTTTAGTAATTAGAGATCGGAATTGGTGTGTTTATATGATGTTTGGGTCATGTTTCAAAGTCAATGGCAGGAAATACGAATTTAAGGCTTAGAAAAGGTATTTATACATTATATGAATGGGAAGCAAGAAAACCGATAAAGTGTGATGTTATAGTCTTCAGGATCTTGTGAAATATGGGAAACATCGACTTCAAGCCTGTTTGATTAGCTTGGTAGTGAAGAGCAATAAGACCCCCGGCATCTTA